TATGCTGTTCCTTCTCAAGCACAAAGTCACCTACGCTACGATGTGGCCGACTCAAGGGCATTCAGAGCTCAACGTGTACTTGCAAGGATTCACTCTTGAATCGTCCAAGGTGGAAACAATCTTTGCATGTTATAGAAAGTGTGAGGACAACAAAATTGTGCAAGCATCAACATGAACCTGACGAACAAGACATGTGAACTGAAGTACTCTACCAAGACCAGACACCCAGAGAAGATTGTTAGCCAACAAAACACCATCTACATGGAGATTCGGGATGCTCTCGGGTTTTCTCCTCGTAACTCAATACTATCCTGTAAATGGTTCAAGAACCTTGACAGCCAGGTAAAGTCAGGTGTTTATTGGATGAAGTTCAATGAGATATCGTCTGCGCCATTCGAAGTGTTCTGTGACATGACCACCAATGGAGGAGGCTGGACCCTTGTCTACAGCTACACATTTACTCAATACAGCAACTTTGAAACAGGGTCAAACGCAATCACTCCAATACCAAACTGGCCTGTGGACAAGTCTATTGGGACATGGGTGCCAAATTCAACGACAACTCCACTCAGTGAGTCTTCTTACTCGGCCATGGATTTTTCTCTGTGGAAGAAGATTGGTAGCGAGATCATTCTGAAGCCTAATATCACTAACTGGGTAGCCTGTGTAGAAGGAACCGGAAGTCTTGTGAACTGGTTGTCAGGAAGTGTGACGTGTAGAGTTGTCAAGGTCATTACACCAACCTGTACCACTGTCGCTCCAAATGCGCTTGATACCACAAAAGGTTGCAGGCCAGTTTTACAGCTCAATAAAAAAATTTCCATTTTTTTTGATGGAAGAACCGACTTTTGCCGGCCTGTCCATGATCCTTGTGGTACCAAATCCATTGATAATCACCTGACCAATGTAGCCAATCCTGGTGGAGCGTTGTACCTACGATGAGAAAAGGCTTGAATGATTATAGTGTCAACGACACGAAAAACTTTCTCTATATTTTCTTCGTGGTATTGTACGAATATGCTAATTTTACTTTCAATTTTTTTTGGAAAGAAACTAAATGAAACAAAAACCTACCAAAACATGAACATTAATATCCCTCGCACTTCTGGCACAAAGACATGTTTGAAGAAGCAAACAAGTACGAAGCATTAATGAGGCTTTTTATCCGCGCGTTTTAACTAATTTGTATTTAATTTAAATCAATGTAGAGGGGGATTTTCTCCAGATTCGTTAAGGAAAGGAATGTTATTTGAAATATTATGGAGGAAATAGAAAACGCTGTTTAGTGTCATGTTCGGTTATAAATTGTGGCATTAGCAGAACACGAGAAAAGTATTAGAGTTAATTCTCTGATTTGCATTTGGTCATGGCTTGGTTCTGTTTCCAAATGCTGACACTTTAAGGTTCTGGTTCTCTCCTGTGTTTCGAGGGTTTTTCTCCCTCCACCGGCTGCCTTATCAATTGCCCTATTTCATAATGACGTCACGGTTTGTTTACATCGGCTAAATTGATAGAAATTTCGGCCAAATCTAAGCTTAATTCCCTTCTTTAGAGATATTTAGTCTTCACCAGCTCATAAACCAAACTTCATTGTTATTTAAGATGTGTAGTTGCAATTCCATCCCCCTCCAGCGACCATGATTCCTAGCGTTAAAACAATAGTTTGTTTTGATGTGACGTCATTATGAAATAGGGCAATTGGGTCGCAAGGTCTTTTAGGCACTGATTAGCCGTCCACCTAGAAGTGGGAGTATTAGATTTTTAGATTTTCAGTTCTTCCTTCTAAGTAATCATTTACCTGGAGCTTTAGTATTTTTAGGTGACGTCAGTGTGAATTTCGCCTATTTCTGCGATCTCTTAAGTCATGAAAATTTGAATCTTGGCAGTTTGTTTGTACAGTGCATAGATCACCGAGTTTTTATATGAGTTTTTTATGATAGTTTTGATAAGAGTCTATTGTTAGCTATCGATATGTATGCTTCAAAGTAGCCTTGCCTGGTGTTATCTTTTGCTAGGTTTCACTGAACTTCATTTCCTGTCTCGTACTATTCTCGTTCGTTCCCAGATCCTCCTTGGTTGTTGTTCCTCCCCGAGGCTCTGGGAAACCCTACCACCGGAAGTACAGAATATTGCGACCACGTCCTCATGGCGCATGCTCGAACTTTTTCCAAGACAAGCCAAAGCAAGCATGGACAAGTCTTTGGCTTTGTGAACTCTACAAATAGCGAACAAAAACATCTATTTGTCTACCCGCTACTACCTTCGATTATCCGATCAAAAAGTAGATCTATTGTTCTTCTTAAAACCAATCRAATTGCAAGAATTTGTTAAAAAATTGAAAAAATTATGTGGCAGCTGTCGGCCACCATACTTCTCTCACAGGAAAGAATGACTGATGAACCAATGTATAGTTCTACGAAATGAATTTTTGGATTCAAAGCTCAAAAATAAAAACAACAACAAACAAACAAACAAAACAAAAACAAAACAAAAAAAGAAAAGAAAACATATCAACAGGAGAGAACGATATACAGTTCTTTAGCATATTAGAAGAAAGACGAAAAGAGAATTCAGACGTAAATAATCATTTGTCATGTTTGAAAATAATACCTAAATCTGATGCCCTTGACTTAACGGTTTGTTTTGTATTCCAAAATTCTATTAAGTTCCTTTAGAAACTGTAATAACAACAACCAACCAATGAGCGCCTGGCTGTTTACGTCAGCATCGCTACCAAGGTAACGATGGTAAAACAGTCTACACTCTGGAAATGTTTAAGTAATGTTTAATAAACGAGCAGGAGTGTTTTATCGGGTATAAAACATGAGGCGTAGCCGAGTGGTTTTATACCCGATAAAACACGATCTGCGAGTTTATTAAACGGCTAAGAAAACTCATGATGTATGTACTCATATCGTACAGAATTCTTTACGAAATGAGCCAAGTTTGATCGAGAAAATCCAAGTTAAAGTTTATGCAAATGAAGACGAATCTATATCAGATATAAAATCACCTTCATGGTCATGATTTCTATTGTGTTTTCCTCATGAATTATTAATGAGTTTTCTAACCAAATTTAAAACCATGAAAACAACTGGGAAAAGGAATTTTTTTATCAACTTAATGCGAAATTTATTTAAGTCATCTGAGATCAAACACGTCCAGCTTATGTGGGGAAAAATGTTAGCCAATCAGAATCAAGAAATTTGCAAAGCTTAGTTGTCACTTTAATTCCCTCTTGAAATCACTGATTTCCAGGTCACCAAATGAAAAAAATAACATTGTCGCAGTAATCAATGAGTTTTATATTTTGTATGACAATGACTGGCAAGTAGGAATATACTTATACTATTACTCTTTTTATTTTCAAAATACGGTATTGTACACTCTTATCAAAGACATGAATAATTCATGAGGAAAACACAACAGAAATCACGACCGTGAAGAGTGTTGTAAATCTGATACAAAACTGTGTTAATTTGCATAAACTTTAAGTTGGATTTTCTTGGCCAAACTCACTTTAATTGTGAAAATTTTAGTGAAACACAAAGGAACTAACCTAGACGTTTGATAAGTCATATACACGGCCACTCATACTGTATATATTACATAATAGTTTGTATTATCAATCATAGATTTAATAAATATGATCCGAGCTTTCGGCCTACTCGGCCATCCTCAGGGAAATGAAAAACGTTACAATTGTACACGTTACAATTACGTTACATTATAATTACGTTACAATTACGTTACGTTATATGTTACGTTACAATTGTACATGTTGACTGATTCAAGAAATCTAATTAAAGGGAATTCTCTAGACTCTCTATGACGCCCTTGACATTTCTGAAGCAAACCTGTGGGACTGAGACCGTCTCGTTTTTTGTTTTAAAGTGGTTTTTCTCCTCTGTGGATAGTTATTAAAGGCGTTATTTATGTTTCTTCAAGCAATTTTTCTCGGACCTTCTGTGTTTTATTTATTTATTTATTTCTTTTTTCTTTTTTCTTTCATTTTTGTTGCTGTTGTTGTTGTTGCTTGTGGTGTGTGTGTGTGTGTGTGTGTGTGTGGTGTGTGTGTATTTTTGTTTTAATCAAATTCACGAAGAAGAGAATAGAATTGATATTCAGCTGCTTCACCAAACACCCATGCACATCTCCAGTCGTGTTTCTATAATGCAAAATAATCAAATCTTCAACGTCGTAATTTCCCGTTGAAGCCACTTCGCAGTATAGAGACTCAGTGAAGCCCTCTATATTCTAGAGCGTTAGTTGCGTACCAGTATAGAAGAAAAGAATGAATTAGATTATAGAAAGCACCGCGTACTGAGACATCTAAGGCTCAGGTTAAAGACTGTAAAGGGTGTAGACTGCTTTACTATCGTTACCTCGGTAGCGATGCTGACGTCAACAGCCAGGCGCTCATTGATTGGTTGTTGGAAGAAAAAATACACAAGTCAGGGCCATAAGATTCATAGCCCATTCACACCAAGGCTTAAACATGTTTTAAAGTGGTTTAACTAAACAGGTTTGTAAAGCTATCTACGAACACTGCACAATATTTGGTGAAATAATGCATGTAAACTATCCTTTGTCTTGCTCTGACAATATTTTACAAAGTATTTCAAAGCCGACAATGAGGGCTGGACGGGATTTCAAGTCCTTACAATTAGTTCCAGTCCTCGGCGCAATGACTTCTCATACTCATTAATAATTCGGGAGGTTATTTGTTTAGGATTGAAAACCTTAAATGATAGATATGTCCCTGAATTGAATACATTATGGTTCAGTCCAAGATTAAAATTAATTCAGTCCTTTCACAGGACTTTATGTTTCAAGCAACACCATGTAACCCAAAAAATAGCCCATTGATTGGCTGGTTTCCTCATGAATTATTAATGAATATGAGAATGACAACTAAAGTATACCAATAATCTGCGAGAAAACGTTTTAATTATAGAACGTTAGAATTTGGATTAATTAGCATAAGCCTTGGCTTTTAGTCTCCTGTTGAGATGGTTTTATCCAGTTTTAAATGACCCAAAAATCGAATTTGGTAGACGTCCATAAAGGCTTTCTTCCCTAAGAAAAGGTTATCGATCTCAACCAAGCTAGACCGTTCGGCACTTCAATCTTACTTCTTTGAAGGTATGCATTCAAAAATAAATTGCCGACTTTCCTTGAATAGGAAAGGAAAGAAAACGAAATAATATACATGCATTGTATCGATTATTTGGAATTTTCTTCTAACATCTTTTTCTTTCTTCTTCTTCTTCTT